TCCCTACACTACCTTAGTTCTGATAGGGAGCTTGAAAATTCTATCCTCAAAGGAGCGATGTTTCACGTCCAACTTCCTGAACTTTGTGTTTGAACTTAAGTTTTAGCTCCATCCAGCCTGCATAGGCACAAATGCTGCCTGGGTGTTTAAGTGGGCTCACAGGGATATTTTTTGTGTAATGTTCAATTCAAGGAGTGTGAAGATGAAGATTTCTTCAGAGTTGGTCAAAACATCTGGATTTAAAGTTTAAGGAAAGCAGTGGTTTAGACGCATGCTAGATTCTGTCTTGCTGCTATAGGTAGCAAAAAAAGAAACTATGGGAAGGATGTTCCTCTGCAATACTTTATGCCTTTGTATAGGAGCACAATAGGATGCCTGACAGATACTGCCACTCAAAAGATTTTTATGTTGTATGGTTAAAGCCCATGTGCACCCTATGCTGACACTGATATATGAATGCGTAAGTTAAAGAAGGTTTAACACCAGTATAAATTACTTATTCAAATGCTTGCATCTGCTGACCTGTGTAAGTTTGTCTAGCTCCCCAAGCCAGGCCCCAAACATCTTATCCAGATCCTGGTCTTCCTTATCACTGTCTTCTTCTGCACCATGATCAAGTTCTTCATCTGATAACTGCTCCATCTGAAACAGAAAAAAATACACCAGTTTAATTATATTGAGTATTTACTTAGAAAGCAGTAAAAGTTTCTCAATAATTTGCAAACATTTTTCAGCACTGTACTACAAAGAATAAGGCTCTTACTACATGGCTATCTACAATGACATTATTGCATTGGGAAAATTCATCGTTGAATAAAATCATGGAAAGGTTATGTTTTATAACATTTAGATTTCACCAATAAGCCAACAAAAATCATGTAACAGATACGGTACATTTTGTAAAATATGTCAAACACTTTGTAAAAGTGTACTGTCTGACCATTTTTCTGCACCAAGTCAACATAGTTTTTGGTTTTATTCCTGGCACAGTTAAACATGCATCCATTAGAACACCATGTACAACAAAGTGAAATTCAAGTTCCATTCTGGTCCAGTGCTCTGTAGTTGACTTTGCTTTCTTTTAGACTCAAACGCTTTTTCACTGCATTCTGGTTCAACTGTACTAAGGCATTTAGAATGCTGCAATAGTAATCAACCCTGCATTCCAAAGAAACCATTATTATTATTATTTATTTGCGAAGTGCTGATGAGCTTTAACTTGTGAGATACAACTAGACGTAGAACTAAACAAACAAGAATAATGTGTGGGACTTTTTAAAAATCATACTACTTCCTTGAGGAGACTAAAGTACTGAATATTTAGGCAAGATAGAAACAAATAGTGATAGTGCATAAGGGATAGTATAAAATAAAATAAGAAGGGAGAAGGAAATGAAGTTATCAAGTGTCTCTCTCCTCTGCTGTGAATGAGCAAAGGATGTAGTAGTAGTAGTAGTAGAGGAATCCGAACCTCGTTACAAACTGCCCTGATTGAAGATATAGCCCTTTCACAGACCTTAATGCCTCTGTTACTGCAAGACATGAAGAGAGTCCTTGAAAATGACCCTTCTTCTAAAAGGAGAGAGTTTTACCAGGTAGGTCTTCTTTAGTTATCCTGGAACTTCATCTATATGTAGTCTTTTCTGAGCATGTAAAAATTACCTCATCTCACACAGAGGTCAACACAGTTGCATCTCTCTGCTGTTCAATTCTTCTTCTTTAGAATACATGTAATACTATTAAGTATTACAGTACTTGGCCCAAATGTTGTTTAAACTGAAACATTGACTCAGACCTGATCCTGCTCCCACTGAAGTCTATTGGGCATTAGCTGTTAATTTCAATAAGAGTAATGTCATCAATCCCCAATTTTTCTCATTCCAAGAAAATATCCCATTTTAAAGGAGGTGTAAACTATCATGAGCCATAACGTTGGGAAAAAATCCCAACATCTGCAGGAAAAGCAAGCTCTCCGGGTTTTAGCTTTAAGCAAAAATTACTGAAATCACCTTTACAGCTTGATGTTTAATGAATTTAGAACATGAATTTTATTCCCAGGCCCTTCCTTTCTTACCAGTCCAAAAGGTATGCAGCATTCTAAGTCAAGCACATGTGCTTCAAAGTTTTGAAGAAGGTGAAATCAATAGGTAACTATAAACAATACATATTTCTTTAGGAAATGGAAGATAAGGAGAGAAGGGAGGGGGAGAGGTATATCAGGCAAAAGCAATCGTTTTCAAATTTGGGCACCTTAAATTAAGCTCTGAATTGTGTATTTTGCCCACCTGAAAAAATCAGTCCACTTTCATCTAAAGTTATAGGGCATCCCTACCTGCTAATAAATTGGTAGAAACTGCAGTTTTCCTGTTACCTGATAATCAGAGCACTCCACCTGAAAAGCCTAAATATGGATTCAGCCATCTAGCTGTAGGTACTCAGATTGGAAACACTTTGTCCTATGTCAGTGGTGGCCAACCTGTGGCATGAGTGCCACAAGTGGCACAAGCAGCCTGTGTGCCATGTGACCAGGGACAGGTAGCAGCAGATAGAGCAGGAAGCAGAGCAGGAAATTGAGCCGTGTGCACAGAGTGGGGAGCAGAAAGCAGCGTGGCAGATGTGGCAGGGAAAGGGGACTGGGGTAGCACTTAGGGAGGCTGCGGGGCTAATCTGTGACACCTACTAAAAAGGTTGGCCCCTACTGTCATATGTCAACACATTAGCCATGGGAGCAGACTTTTCTAGATTTCTACTGTACAGAAGAATAAAGTTTCAGCAGGTGGTCATTATCCCTTCCATTCGCCTTACCAGCTGACAGAATAAATAAGAATAAGATTTTTTTAATATTCTGGGGGTTTTATACTGGAGTTAGAGGCAAAATTCTACAACTATTTATGGATTATGAAATTATAACAGTATCAAACAACCTCATAAAATCATTACAGCTCCAAGATGTCTATGGGTAGAAGAGTTTCTGGTATTGGCTCCTTCAGAGACAGCCAGCCAGAAGACAAAAACTGGATAGGCATGCTCAGTGTAACATACATTTTTATATAAAAGAAAAAAAAAATAAAATTTTGCTTAAAACACAAATATTTCACCACGTGTGGGTTAAACACACTGCAGATATGAATTAAACTTAAGTGTATTGAATGGCATTAAGTATTGTAAATGGAATGTAAATCTCAAGTATTATAAATGGCATTTTGTAATGGCATTTTACCTCTCCTATATAGTTACATGATTATACATGGTCACACTGTCAACCCTGTTTGCAAATATAGTTTGAAAGAAAAAATAATATCAACTTTTGTTTATGTTAAAACTTAGAGTTCCCAGTAAATCTTTCTAAAGTTAGTAAATGACAAAGGCCCAAGCAAAATGTTTTTCCCTCTTGTACATCAACTGAATTGCACAGAACATAGTCATATACAATTTTTGCCAGGCTCCCTATGTAACAAAAGGGTATTTATAATTGTCAAAAATAGGGAGCAAAATCAAGGAAGCATCGGCAACTGTAAATCTAGCATTTTCTAATGCTAACTTTGCAATCTAAAAAACTTCAACGTGCTTTAGTTTTGGGGGATGGGAGTTACTAGCAATTTCCTCAATGATCTTTTTTTTTTTGTATGCCAAAAATGGGAAGGCAACACATTTCATTAAAGATAATAAACAACCTCTTTACATACACAAACAGAAAGGTGGGAGGGAATCATGAACCTTCAACATTACAGCACAGACTTAAGGCATATGAAATTTTCATAGATTTCATAGACATTAGGGCTGGAAGGGACCTCGGAAGATCATCGAGTCCAGCCCCCTGCCCAAGGGCAGGAAGTCAGCTGGGGTCATAGGATCCCAGCAAGATAAGCATCCAGTTTGCTCTTGAAGGTGTTCAATGAAGGCACTTGAACCACCTCCGGTGGCAGGCTGTTCCAGACCTTGGGGGCTCAGACAGTAAAGAAATTCTTCCTTATGTCCAGCCTGAAACGATCTTGAGTAGTTTGTGACCATTCGACCATTCGACCTCATCATCCCTTGGGGCGCTTTGGTGAACAAACGTTCCCCCAGATACTGGTGGTCACCTTGATAAACTTGTAGGTGGCCATCAGATCACCCCTGAGCCTGCGCTTTTTCAGGCTAAAGAGCCCCAGGGCTTCCCTGACCTCTGATCATGCACGTGGCTCTTCTCTGGACTCTCTCAAGCTTCTCCACATCCTTTTTGAATTGTGGAGCCCAAAACTGGACACAGTACTCCAGCTGCGGCCTCACTAAGGCCGAGTACAGGGGGAGAATGACGTCCCAGGATTTGCTTGAGAAGCATCTATGGATGCAAGCCAGCGTTTTGGGCGCTTTACTAGCCGCCGCATTGCATTGCAGGCTCATGTTCATCTTGTGGTCAATGATGACCCCCAAGTCTCTTTCTT